CAGTCTGCTGAACATAATACTACACAAACATTAGATGTTGCCATGGTTTAATTGCACATAACATGTAAACATTCATAGTGCAGGGAGGAAAAAGTATGTGAACCTTTGGACTTAATAACTGGTTGACCCTCCTTTGCCAGCAATAACCTCAACCAAACGTTTCCTGTAGTTGCAGATCAGACCTGCACAATGATCTGGAGTAATTTTGGACCACTCCTCTTCACAAAACTGTTTCAGTGTAGCAATATTCTTGGGATGTCTGGTGTGAATCGCTCTCTTAAGGTCATGCCACAGCATTTCAATCGGGTTAAGGTCAGGACTCTGACTGGGCCACTCCAGAAGGCGTATTCTCTGCTGTTGCAGCCATTGTTTTGTTGAATTATTACTTGTATGCTTTGGGTCATTGTCCTGTTGCATCACCCATCCTCTGCGGAGCTTCAGTTGGCGGACAGATGGTTGTACGTTTTCCTGCAAAATGTCTTGATAAACTCTGGAATTCATTTTCCCATCAATGACAACAATCCGTCTAGGCCCTGAGGCAGCAAAGCAGCCCCAAACCATGATGCTCCCTCCGCCATGTTTCACAGTGGGGATGAGGTTTTGATGTTGGTGTGCTGTGCCTTTTTTTCTCCACACATAGTGTTGTGTGTTCTTCCTAAACAACTCAATCTTGGTTTCATCTGTCCACAGTATATTTTGCCAGTAGTGCTGTGGAACATCCAAGTGCTCTTTTGCAAACTTCAAACGTGCTGCAATATTCCTTTTGGACAGCAATGGCTTCCTCCGTGGTGTCCTCCCATGTACTCCATTCTTGTTCAATGTTTTCCTTATTGTAGATGTGTCAACAAAAATGTTAACATGTGCCAGAGATTTCTGTAGGTCTTCAGGTGACACTCTGGGATTCTTCTTTACCTCATGCAGCATTCTGCGCTGTGCCTTGCAGTCATTTTTACAGGACGACCACGCCTAGGGAGAGTAGCAACAGTGCTAAACTTTCTCCATTTGTAGACAGTCTGTCTTACCGTGGACACATGAACATCAACCAAAGGAGGTTCAACCAGTTATTAAGTCCAAAGGTTCACATACTTTTTCCTCCCTGCACTGTGAATGTTTACATGTTATGTGCAATTAAACCATGGCAACATCTAATGTTTGTGTAATATTATGTTCAGCAGACTGTGTTCTTCTATTGTTGTGACTTAGATGACGTTCAGAGCACATTTTATGCCCTATTCATGCAAAACTCCATGTAATCCCAAGGGGTTCACATACTTTTTCTTGCAACTGTATTTGAAGAATTTTTGGGTCATTGTCCTGTTGCATCACCCATCCTCTGCGGAGCTTCAGTTGGCGGACAGATGGTTGTACGTTTTCCTGCAAAATGTCTTGATAAACTCTGGAATTCATTTTCCCATCAATGACAACAATCCGTCTAGGCCCTGAGGCAGCAAAGCAGCCCCAAACCATGATGCTCCCTCCGCCATGTTTCACAGTGGGGATGAGGTTTTGATGTTGGTGTGCTGTGCCTTTTTTTCTCCACACATAGTGTTGTGTGTTCTTCCTAAACAACTCAATCTTGGTTTCATCTGTCCACAGTATATTTTGCCAGTAGTGCTGTGGAACATCCAAGTGCTCTTTTGCAAACTTCAAACGTGCTGCAATATTCCTTTTGGACAGCAAAACTCCATGTAATCCCAAGGGGTTCACATACTTTTTCTTGCAACTGTGTATATATATATATATATTATATATACAGTTGTGTCCAAAATTATTCAACCCCCACTGAAATTGAGTGTTTTGGCCAGTTTGACATTGCTTTTGATCATTCAGTCATCTTGCTTACATTTACATTAAAGAGGCACTTGTAGGTCAGACAAATATAACATAACAGTTATAATGAAATAACCACAAATGTCTTTTCTGTCTCACAGCATTATCAGTTTTATTCAACCCCCAAGTGACATTCAATCTTAGTACTTAGTACAGCATCCTTTTACAGTTATAACAGCTTTTAAACGTGAAGCATAGCTTGACACAAGTGTCTTGCAGCGATCTACGGGTATCTTCGCCCATTCTTCATGGGCAAAGGCCTCCAGTTCAGTCACATTCTTAGGCTTGCGCACTGCAACTGCTTTCTTTAAGTCCCACCAGAGGTTCTCAATCGGATTTAAGTCTGGTGACTGCGATGGCCACTCCAAAAATGTTCCAGCCTTTCCTCTGCAACCATGCTCTAGTGGACTTGGAGGTATGCTTGGGATCATTGTCCTGTTGAAAGGTCCAACGTCTCCCAAGCCTCAGGTGTGTGACGGACTGCATCACGTTTCCATCCAATATCTCCTGGTACTGAAGAGAATTCATGGTACCTTGCACACGCTGAAGCTTCCCTGTACCTGCAGAAGCAAAACAGCCCCAAAGCATGATTGACCCTCCACCATGCTTCACAGTAGGCAAGGTGTTCTTTTCATCATAGGCCTTGTTCTTCCTCCTCCAAACATAGCGTTGATCCATGGGCCCAAACAGTTCTAATTTTGTTTCATCAGTCCACAGAACACTATCCCACAACTTTTGTGGTTTGTCCACATGGCTTTTGGCATACTGCAGTCGACTCTTCTTATTCTTTGGAGACAGCAAGGGGGTACGCCTGGGAGTTCTGGCACGGAGGCCTTCATTACGCAGTGTGCGTCTTATTGTCTGGGCTGAAACTTCTGTACCCACATCTGACAAATCTTTTCTCAGTTCCTCAGCAGTCACACGGGGACTTCTCTCCACTCTACGCTTCAGGTAGCGCACAGCAGTCGAAGTCAGCATCTTCTTTCTGCCACGACCAGGTAGCGTTTCAACAGTGCCCTTTGCCTTGAATTTGCGAATGATGCTTCCTAAGGTGTCTCTTGGTATGTTTAACATCTTTGCAATCTTCTTATAGCCATTGCCCTTCCTGTGAAGAGAAATCACCTCTTCTCTTGTCTTCCTGGACCATTCTCTTGCCTTCACCATGTTTGTAACCACACCAGTAAATGTCTAGAAGGAGCTGAGTATCACAGTCATTTTAAAGCTGCCTAATTGGTGCTTATTATGCTTGATTGCTGCTCGGTGACATCCACAGGTGTTTTCAATACCTGATGGAAAGCACCTGTATGAACCTCTGTTCTTCAGAGTGGTAGTCTTTAAGGGGTTGAATAATTGTGGCAATGAAGAAACCACATAAGAACCATTTACTACTGTATTACATAAACAATTGATGTCATTTTAGTTGCATTTGGGTAGTTACAACGTCCTTGTAGGATTTGATTCTGAATACAATTCCAAATGTACACTATACCTAAACCCCTTTACAGCATTGGGGGTTGAATAATTTTGGACACAACTGTATATAGTATATATACACACACACAGTGCATCCAGGAAGTATTCACAGCGCTTACCTTTTGCCACTTTTTGTTATGTTACAGCCTTATTCCAAAATGGATTAAATTCATTTTTTTCCTCAACATTCTACAAACAATACCCCATAATGACAACGTGAAAGACATTCGTTTTGAAATCTTTGCAATTTATTAAAAATAAAAAACAAAAACCACATGTACATAAGTATTCACAGCCTTTGCCTTGACATTCAAAATTGAGCTCTGGTGCATCCTGTTCCTACTGATCATCTTTGAGATGTTTCCACAACTTGATTGGAGTCCACCTGTGGGAAATTCAGTTGATTGGACATGATTAGGAAAGGCATAAACCTGTCTATATAAGGTCCCACAGTTAACAGTGCATGTCAGAGCACACAAACCAAGCCATAAAGTCCAAGGAATTGTTCGTGGACCTCTGAGACAGGATTGTATCAAGGCACAGATCTGGGGAAGGGTACAGAAAAATTTCTGCAGCATTGAAGGTCCCAATGAGCACAATGGTCTCCATCCGTATATGGAAGAAGTTTGGAACCACCAGGAATCTCCCTAGAGCGGGCCGCCTGGCCAAAATGAGTGATCGAGGGAGAAGGGGCTTAGCCAGGCAGGTAACCAAGCACCCGATGGTCACTCTGAAAGAGCTCCAGCATTTCTCTGTGGAGAGAGGAGAACCTTCCAGAAGAGCAACCATCTTGCAGCACTCCGCCTATCAGGCCTGTATGGTAGAGTGGCCAGACGAAAGCCACTCCTCAGTAAAAGGCAAATGGCAGCCCACCTGGAGTTTGCCAAAAGGCACCTGAGGGACTCTCAGACCATAAGAACCAAAACTCTCTGGTCTGATGAAACAAAGATTGAACTCTTTGGTATGAATGCCAATCGTCATGTCTGGAGGAAACCAAGCACCGTTCACCACCTGGTCAATACCATCCCTACAGTGAAGCATGGTGGTGGCAGCATCATGCTGTGGGGATGTTTTTCAGTGGCATGAACTGGGAGGCTAATCAGGATCAAAGAAATGATGAAAGCAGCAATGTATAGAGACATCCTTGATGAAAACCTGTTCCAGAGCACTCTGGACCTTGTACTGGGGTGACGGTTCATCTTTTAACAGGATCACAACCCTAAGCACACAGCCCACATAACAAAGTTGTGGCTACGGGCCAACTCTGTGAATGTCCTGGAATGGCCCAGCCAGAGCCCAGACTTGAACCTGAATGAACATCTCTGGAGAGATCTAAAAATGGCTGTGCACCGACGCTCCTCATCCAACCTGATGGAGCTTGAGAGGTACTGCAAAGAAGAATGGTAGAAATTGCCCAAAAATAGGTGTGCCAAGCTTGTAGCATCATACTCAAAACGACTTGAGTCTGTAATTGGTGCTAAAGTTGCTTCAACAAAGGCAGTTGCAAAGATTTCAAAAACTAACTTCTTCTTTCACGCTGTCATTATGGGGTATTGTTTGTAGAATGTTGAGGAAAAAAATGAATTTAATCCATTATGGAATAAGGCTATATATATATCTACACACACAAAAATAAACATATAAACACTATACATCCCTGCATTTTTATTCTCTCATCTGTCTTTGTTTATTTTTAGTTTGTTTTCTGCCAAGTTTGTTGTGAGCCATTTCACCAGTTCTGCTTAGAGGAGAGAGAGAGAACGACCCACAGAGGATCAGCTGGAGAACTGGTGTTGTCGGCAGTGCAAGTTTTGCCATGTATGTGGCAGACAGCAACAAGTTAATAAGGTATTATATTTTTCTTGTTTTAAGGGGAGTTTCTATGTAAAGCTTCTTGGGTGAAATGTATTGCAGCAGCAGCACATTTACCATTGGCCTATAGTAGAAAGTAGCGTACACTTATCCTATACCCGTTACCACTTTTCCAGCAGCTTTAGCAAGTGTCTTATTTTTTGTCTTATTTTTTTTTTCCTGCTTATTGTTTCCCGTAGCCACTCCTCGAGTGTAATAAGTGCCGCAACAGCTATCACCCAGAGTGCCTGGGACCAAACTATCCTACTAAACCAACAAAAAAGAAGAGAGTCTGGGTAAGTCAGTTTACTATAGTACTACAAAAACTAGTTTGTATGTATTATTCCTAATCATTTTTTGTGATTAGCTTTGCATTTAAAAAAATGGACTAAACAGACCATTATGTGGTTTGTGATAAGAAGAGAATAACTGTATGCAACCTGTTGGGTCTGCTTTTTATGGAAGACTAGCTTTTCTTTCTCCCTTGACCTTTTATGGGTTGCTCTTATTGCTGAAATGCTTGCAGTCACAGAAACAGAAAAAGTAATACAATCCCATGTAATTTGTTTGTTTAGATATGTCATTGTGCTAGCTTAAGGAAATCTAAAGTAGTGGAACATTTGTTTTCCAGATCTGCACTAAATGTGTGCGATGTAAGAGTTGCGGGTCCACCACACCTGGTAATGGCTGGGATGCACAGTGGTCACATGACTTCTCACTTTGTCACGACTGTGCCAAACTATTTGCTAAAGGTAAGTATTGGGAATAATAAATAGTCCCTACTCCACACAAGGTGTATACCGAATAATGAAAAATACTTTGTACCCTTTAAGTGTTAATCAACATCACACTGCTGCTACACATATTACCCCTCACATCTAAAAAATCATGAATCCAGAAAACATCCAAAATCAACAGTGGATAAAGTGGTAAAACCTGTTGTATCATAACTTCATGCAAAAGAAAAAACCCATTCATCAACTATTGCAACAAAATAATAAAAATGTGAACAATGAGCGCAAAAAGAAAAATAAAGGAAGCAGCTGGTACAATGTGGCAAACCCTCTGCTCCCACTATACAAACATATAAATAAATGGTGCAGCGCTAAAATATATGAAATTGATATAAATGTGCTACCAAACAATGTAATAGATGACCAGTATAGAACGTAAATATAATCCACTGTGATTTGTCCCAAAATAACTTGACCAAGTAATAGTCCCAAAAGTGATGTGATCAAATGGTGACCAAAAATGACTGTGACTTCTGTGATACTCCTCCACCACTATGCACTCACCAGAAGCAAAAAGCAAGCCAGCATTGGGTATAAATGACTCCTTGAAGCATATCTACCCACTTCCTATCACCAGTCCATCCAGGGTTGGAATCCCTCCTAAAGGGAGAGCTCACAAACAGAGCCCAGAGACAGCACAATATAGTGTAGTATGTTTATTAAAACTAACAGCAACCATGTGGAGCATAATGCAAGCCAGGAATAAAATCACTTACAAAGATGGCCGCTGGACCATCGCATGGACTCGACGGCGTGACGTGGAGGAGTATCACAGAAGTCACAGTCATTGTTGCTCACCATTTTATCTTATCACTTTTGGGACTATTACTTAGTCAAGTTTTTTTGGGACATATCACAATGGATTATATTTGCGTCCCTGTCATTCATATATTGGACGTTCTATACTGATCATCTATTACATTGTTTGGTAGCACATTTATACCAATTTCATTTATTTTAGCACTGCACCATTTATTTAAAACTATTGCAACAGTTCATCATATGTCAAAGTGGAGTTTAATATAAAGTCCACAAAACCAATCCACTGTGAATACTGTAAATCTTCAATTCCCCCCCTCCCCCATGGGACGATAGCTCTTTACTCTCTTCCGCTCCATATATCCACCAGACGTGTTATGAATAAATGACCCCTAGCAATCTATGTATTTTATCACGTTAGTGCATTTCTTTTCTTCCAAAAATATTTTATTGATATAAGAATAGACAGGATAACATATAGAGCATATACAGCAATAATGCACAGTCAGAACACAGACATGAAATATTGCTTTCTGTTTCGCAGACGGGATTTAGTGTAAACCGTAATACAAAGCAATGTGGTATAGAACAATACATCAAGCTTACAATTCAAACCAATGAATACTTAGACGAAAGTAGGTACAACACTGAAGGTGTATGTCATCTCGTCTTGAGTATCAGCAATGCTTAAAGATGAGGTGATATGAAGATTAGAGCCTGGACGGCATTCGATGTTATTAAAGTCATGGTTTACATGTTTATAGTTTAAGTGTATAATATAGATGAAGTGAGTCCTATCTGTGTGAGGGTGAATGCACTATTTGGTTGGTGAAGAATGACTGATAAGGTGGTATACCAGGTGTGAACAAGAAGAGAGGTCAGAAAGAAGAACAGCAAGAAGAAGAGATGTAGGATTAGATGATAGGTGGGACAAAAAAAAAAGTTAAACTAGGTCACCTCCCCGAGTATTAGCCGAGCCGGCAAAGTAATATAGCTTAGTATATGTTACATGCAAGATCCGACAGTGGGGTAACACATGGATTAGAAACCCCATAAAACATATCATGATATAGCACTACAGTCTATCTTTACGTGTGAGAAAAGCGTCTTCGATGAACCGGGTATTTCCCGAGGAAATTCAATCCGGAACGTTAGTGCATTTCTTATATATATTTTTTAATAAGTGGTTTGCAGTCTTCACTATTGGTCCATGATATTCTTGCTGGGTAGTATAATTGTCACCAGAGAAACTGTGGACACAAGGTGTGTTATATCTCTTTGCAAAAACAAGTTTGACCTCCTTGGGGTCCATCAAACCAACTGAGAGGACACCATGAGATGTTACGGTGGTGGGCACTTTGGGATTGCAACAACAAGTGGATAATGTGTGAACCTTTTTAAGGTTTTGGAAGAATTTTCTTTCACCATCTTATCAGGAGACTGTATGGGACTGAATTTTATCATTCTTGGATAATTAGCAAATACACAGTTTGAGGATATTGCTTTCCTACTAGAATGTTATAGCGCTACGATTTAGTATTTTATTTTGCAACTAAGATTGTATGGTGTATGGGACTGAATTCTATTGTTTTTGGACAATTTGCACATACACAGTTTGAGGATATTGCTTTTTGATTATGATGTTCTATCACCATTATTTCCAGGGCTTTACAAATTTGCTTTGAATCCAGGAGCCGGCCAATTTTTTTTTGACTGGCAGGGCTTTGTTTTCAGCAACAAAGATGATCTCTAAAGGAGGTTGCTGATAGAAGGGGACTATATAATGGGGGATCTCTAAGGTGGGTGCTAATATGGGGGGTCTCTAAGGGGGTGTTAATATAAAGTGACTGATCTAATGGGGGGAGGTCTCGAAGTGGGGTACTAAAAGAAAAGGACTGTAATAGGGGGTACTAAAATAAAGGGAAACTGATCTAATTGGGATCTGTAAGGGGGGGTGGTGCTGATATAAGGTTACTCTGATCTAATGGGAGGTCTTTAAAGGGGGTGATGCTGATATAGGGGGACTCTGATCTAATTTGGGGGGTGTTAAGACTTCTGATCAGCAGCAGACTGCACCCCCCTTAGATACCCCCATTAGCTCTCAGTCCCCTTATATCAGTGCCCCTCCCCCTTAGAGACCTTCATTAGATCAGAAAAGATCCCCCCTATATCTGCGCCCCTGCTTATAGATTGCCTCACCAGCGGGACTTGGGAGCAACTGCAGCAGGCCAGTAAGTGTCTGACATTGGGAGCCAGAGTTGAAGAGCGAAGCTTGGATGTGGAGTGACTGCAGCTCTAGGGCTATTTTCCTCCCCTCCATTGTGTGCAAGGTGTCATTGGTTGCTTGCATACCCTGCGGTCCCAGCAACCAATGAATAAAATGCAAGGCAAATTACTGAGGCAGGGGGGAGATGCCTGGCGGGGGAGAAGGCAGAGGTGACAGGAAGGCAGACACAGCTGACAGGAGCGGAGCTCAGTGCTGAAAGCTGGTGAAGCCGTCTTAGGCCCCCCGTCCACAATGGTGGAACTCCGGAGCCCAATCGCAGTTGCAACCCTGGTAGTTCCACCACTGGTTGGAGTTGAATTGTGGAGCTCGGGGTGGTGGGAGTTTCTGACACCTAGTACCAGTGGTGGATGGGCTGGCGGAGCATGGACGCCTGAGATTTGTTGAGCCCTGTTAAGTCATATTTCCTGATCTACTAGAAGCAGATAATGATGTATGACTTCACCTGGATAATATTCACATTTATTTCACAGATAAGATAACTGCTGTGATTTGTACAGACACCCAATAACACTGATATAAAGGTGTGAACACATGCAAGATACACTCAGCGTGGGAAACGTTCAATGAAATGACAACTGATAGGTTTCCATGGAAACAAATGCTTCTCATAGCAGCACACAGCTCTATGCTGCCTGTCCTAAAATTGCAGGACACATCAGGCAGGGAACATGTTTTGCTGGGACAATGTGGTCAAAGTCATACATTCTCACACAGTGTACACTCCTCTCCTGATACATTCCTCACAGAGTGTCCCGTCCCCTCATACATTCCAGTCACACATTGCTCCCCTTCCTCATACACTCCTCTCACACAGTGTCCCCTCTCCTCTGTTCCTGTTGGTGGGGCCCCTAGGGTGTCTCCTCTCCCCTGGGGAGTAGAGGTTGGCCAGCTCCAAGACCCCCAGCTGCTTTCCCTGCAGGGCTTGCCAGGTCACTCTCGGCCATCAGTCACAGCTGGGGCTCACTGTCAGCTTCTTCGTGCGCCATCCTTGCCATCTTCCCGGCCAGCCAGTTGGAGAAGCCGCCATCCCCAGCTCGCCTCTCGATTGGGGGAGAGTCAAAAGGGAGTGGAAAGCTACGGACAGTGGAGAGGGGAGAGGCTTACTGGCTGCCCAACCATTGCTCCTCAACGCAAGATACTCATGTGATAACCTGGCCAATAGAGGAGAAAATATGAGGAGCTCAGTGGGTGACTGCCCGAGGAGTTTCTTGTGCCTGGTGCCAGCGGTGGATTGGCTGGCAGGAGTCTGAGCGTTGGGATGCGGTTTCTGGTTGCCTTGGCAGCCTGGTGCCTGGGATTTGTCGAGTCCTGATTTAGTGTTTTCCTTTGCAACTGTTAAATTTTTTATATTGTATTGCACAGAATTTGCGGTTATAATTTATTATTTTGTATGAGGATGTTTGATGTATTCATTTATGTAGTTCCTAGAGTGCTTCACTTTGTTTTTGGTATAA